GGGGCACTTAGGAAAGAGAGCAGACCCTGGGATGGACAGACAGACAGACCAGAGGACAGAGAAACCCCTCAGTGAGAGCTTTCAATAACAGGAGGAGACAACGCAGTACTGATTGCTACAAGCAGCAATGCTGTTACAACAGGGCAATTTATTAAACTCTCCATATCATTTTAGGGAGAGAAAAACAAATCCTAGATCAGGAAGGCCCCACTGAACACTCCTGCTCCCTGCAGAGCTCTGCCCGTGCTGTGGGCACCCAGGCAGCCCTGCCAGGACCTGGAAAGCTGCTGGCACAGCTCCACCATGGCAACAGCTGCTGCAGTTCTGGGGAAAGCTTTCTCTTGTAGGTGGAGACAGGACAGACACAATGAGAAGCCAGGCTCATTAAGCATAAATAAAATTATTCAAGGCCTTTTCATGTCTCCCAAGCCAGAGGCAGGCAGGGCAGAGCCTTTCAGTGCTGACAGGAGTGCCCAGCAAACCCATTTGGGGCTGTTTTCCAAGATCCTCTTGCCAGAGACAGCCAAGAACTGTCTGTGTTGCCTGAAGCCCCAGTCAGAACACAGGACTATTGCCTGTTCACAACTGTTGCCTGCAATTCTGCTCTGGGAATGCTGGTCTAGTGGAAGAAGCTCCCCAGTCCCACTCCCTGTGCCACAGCACATTCCCACCTCCTGCCTGGAGGTCACTGAGGCCACTTGATTTTGGCTTCAATCACTAACAAGTTTAGATATCACTGATTTGCCATTCTGTTATTCTCCAGAGGATGGGCACAGGGCTGATCTCATGCTGATGAGAATATTTCCAGCTGAAATACATAGCTGTTGTAACTCCAGCCCCACGCTGACAAGCAGCAAGTTGCCACTTCTGCCCAGTAAAATCAGCTGAACAAGCTGTCCCATGACCGTGTCCTTCCTTTTGCATTGGGTTTGCCAGAGCTCCCTCAAACTGGCCAAATATTGGCTAACATCAGCAAATTATATAGATAATAATGGCTTATCCTTCTTGCACCGATATCAGATTTAAAGGAAATCCTGGAAGGAATATTCCTTACTTTGACTCCATGAATTAGGCCATTCATCAGGAATGTGTGCTGAGGAAAAGTCTGGTGCAAGACCTGGAGGGAAGACAAACAAAACCAAATGAAAAAGTCAGAGCTAGCAACTTTTGCAAAATTTCTGTAAGCATCTGCCAGCTAGAGGCCTGGAAGGGCACAATCCAGGGAAAAAGGGAAATATCCTGGCAACAATGTCTCCACGTGAGGAGCTCTGCCTACCCTTTCCAGTATGGAAAACAACTGTCCTTAACATTTTCCAGGACTATAAATGGTTCCAGCATGCTTGGGTGAGGCTCAGAGAGCCTCAAACACGCCCTTCCCCATCACATGAACCCCCTGTGGTTTTACTTTATGTCACCACGTCACTTCTCTGCGGGTCCCTCTGTGCTGTCTGTATGTTTGATTTGCATTTTATATTATCAGGCTAATATGTGGAAATGTTTTTGCATAATCAAAGACTCCTTTTCCACAGTTCCCCAAGGAAAGGTTGTGCTAAGACCTTAATTCTCAGGAGCGCCAGGAGAGCTCCCATGGAGACACACTCACTGTCAGCATTGGCGTGGTCAGCAGCCCCCAGGCAAAGAATTCCAGGAAAATCACCACCACGGCGTGGTACACGCTGGGTTCCCCAATCCCCTGTCGCTGCAAAACAGAGCAAAGTCAAAAACCTTTCAGCAGCCTCGTCCTGCATTTCAGAGAGCTCACGCAGCTGAGCGGGATCTAAAACGCGAGTGAAGACAGAAAGAGATGCTTCTGAACCGTTCTTCCTGTTCACAGACTACAGGCAGCCTAGGATGCTTAAATCCAACGCCAGCAGGACAGTGGGAGATTCCCGGTGCGGGCCCGCGCTGGTTTTGCTGCCCAGGAACGAGAGCGCACCGGAAGAACGGCACAAAGCCGGCAGGTGCAGCGCCCATCCACGGCATCCTTCGGGCTGCAGCATCCGCCGGGTCCATCGCGCCCGCGCCCCGGGCCGGCAGCTGCAGCAGCGGCGCCCACAGGGGCGGTTTGGAGAGTGTGGCCCACCGGAGAGAGCCCTCGCCTCGCACCGGACACCGGCACCGCCCGGCCCCGCTCCCGTCAGTCCCGGCCCCCACCATCCCCCCGACAGCGCCCAGCCCCGCGCTCACGCCGGCCCCGTCCCGGATCACGATCTTCTTGGCCAGCAGGACGCTGCGGTTGAGCCGCTTCTTCTTCTTCTTCTCGCCGGTCATGGCGCCGCCGGGCCGCTGCCGATGGCCGGCCGCCGCGGCTGCCCCATCCTCCCTGTGGCGGGCCGGGCCGAACCGGACAGGGCCGCGCTGCGCCGAGCCCGAGCCCGGGCCCGGACCCGGCACCGGACCCGGACCGGCACCGGGCGGGGAGCGCCGGGCCCGGGGCTGAGGGCGGGGGTGGGGAGCGGAGGGGGCGACCCCGCCCACTGGCCCCGCCCCCGAACCGGGAACCGGCACTTCCGGCGCACCTCATTGGCTGTTCCGCCGCTTCCACATCGGGAGCACTGGTCTGTGATTGGCTGGACGGGGCAGGGGAGCGGGCGCTACCCGCTGGCTGGGGCGTGACCGTGACGTCACGGACCGGCGGTGGCACCGGGAACGGGCGGTGGCACCGGCAGCGACCCAGGGCCCCGGGGCGCCTTTGGAGCGCCTGCTGCTCCGTCACGGGCACCGCTCCCCACTGGGGTAGGCGGGTTCAACAAGGACATGCGGCCACCGCGGGGCTGGCGGCTCGGGAAGAGCTGTGTCTGCCCCGTCGCCGCTCTCTCGGTACCGAGCTGGTGGCTCTGTCCTCAGCACCGGCATCCCGGGGTGGTGACAGCCAAGCGCCTCCCCAGGACGATCCCGTCTCTTCCCACGAGCTCGGTGCCGCAGGTGGTGGGGAGGGGCAGCCGCGCCCGGGGCTGCGCGTAGGGAGCAGCTCCTGCCCCGGTGCCGCCAGCCCCGGGGCGCGTCCTAATTAATCCTGCACGGGCCGGAGAGCTCGTTTTGCTGACTACATTGGTGCAGGTTCAGTGGACATTAATTGGGCACAGTTTAGACAGGTTTTATACTCGCCAGGGCCCCTCTGATCGACCCCGCCCGCTCGAGGTGGCCGCCCCGGGCAGCGATGCACACGGGAGGCGACCCGGGATGCCTGGAGGGGTCTCACCGTGGGGCAGCCAGAGGCTGTCAGGGCTCCTGCCCGCCCGCAGAGCCCTAGAGGCTGCGATCCAGCCTTTGTCCACGGAGGTTTTCCTTTAAGTAGTGATTAAACCGCAGGGAAAGTTCCCTCAGGTAACTGCACCTGAAAAATGAAAGTAATCTCCCGATTTCCCGGGGCTTATGTGGGAGTGGACAGCAGCTCCATCTCCCCGGTGCTGCTGCACCGTGTCCGGCTGTGCTGTCCCCAGGTGCCCGTGGTCTCCGGAGTGTTCTGCACGTTGCCTGTAGCCTCCACAGGGACACGGTGCCTTCCCTCGGCTGACCCCCAGCCCCTGGGAACCTCCAGCCTCTTGGACCCTCCTGGAGCGGCTTATAAGAGCATGGAGAAGCTTGATTTGTTCCAGTGCTCTACAGCGGCTTAAAAACAAAACCAAGGAGAGAGATCAGAGAGCAGGGAAGCAGTTCCCAACATGGCAACATCAGATGTAATTCTATTACCTTGATTTATTGATCGCACTTAGAGCAATTACTGGCTTTCACCCCATCACCTGCCAGGGAGCAGGAGACAGTGAAGAGGACAGACAAAGGCTGCTGTGGTGTCCAGGGCATGGCCGGCCCCCGGGGAGGCTCCGGTTTTGTTTGTGCCGGTTGCCGCGAGGGCTGGGGGATGTTGGACTGAAGAGCGGCCCAAGAAGCTCCTCGGGAAGCTGAAAACAACCGCTAAAAGGAGTCTGTGATGCCGTGGGGATGGAGCCCCAATATTAAGACCACTTTGGAGATGGAGGGATGCAGGGCTGGGGAAGAGTGAGGGTCTCCGGGGCTCCAGCACAGCAGAACTATTGTGGGTCTGCTTTGGGGTCTCTCACCCTTCTGGACCCAGCCAGCCTGGAGTCGTCTGAGCCGCTCGAAAAACGCCGCAGCCCCGGGGCAGGAGCAAGGGCGAATTACTCGATTGAGGTCAGAAATGTTTAAAGGTTTTATGGGATTTTTCCCTTCTGCTTGCTGCAGTTACAAACAGAAAAACAAGAAAGTGTTTGTGCTTTTTTACTGCCTGAGCCCTCTAGACAGATATAAACAAAGCGGGAGTCAGATCTGGCTTTGGAGGCAGATGAAATCAGAGCGAAAGAGACCAGTGGGCTGAGAAGCACAGAAGTAGGGCAGCCCTCTTGTGCATCGAAGCCTGGCCAAGCCCTCCCCCGCCTCCCCGGCCAGCCCTGGGCTTGTGCAGCGCTTCCCGGGAATGCAGAGGTGGAAAGGGCAGAAAACGTCCCTGTTGTGGGCGAGGGCAGTGCCGGGGGCTGCTGGCCGCTTTCGCTCCAGCTAACGCGAAAAGCGAGCGGGAGACAGCCTGCGCCTCAGCCCTGTGGCTCTGGGAGGGGCCGTCACCCTCCCCTGCCTGCTACCCCCAACCCCTCACTGCCGATGTTTGCGGCAAAGCTGGAAACTCGCAGGGCCGGCGCCAGCCCCGCGGGCTTTGGCGCGGTCGCAGGCCGTGTCCAGGGGGTTTGGAGCAGGACAGAGCGTGGGTGGCTCCGACCCCACGGGCCGTGCTCGCGAGGGCAGCCCAGGCGTGGGGTGGGTGCTGTTGTGCGCGGGGATGCTCAGGTGGGCGGGGATGCTGGGCGGGACGGGGATGCTCTGGCAGCCGCGGGTCCGGCGGGGCGGGGGGGGCCGGGGGCGGAGGATGCGGGGCCGGGCGGGCGGCGGAGCGCTCGCACCATGACATCAGCGCGGCACGGCCCCGGGGGAGCGGGCGGGGGGTGGGAGCCAGCGCGGCGGCAGCGGAGCGGAGCGCGGCCCCGGGCATGCTCCCGGAGCCCAAGTATGACCGCTTCCGCGACGAGCCGCTGACCGCCCCCATGCCGTCGCCGGCCCCCGCGCCGTGCCCCGCGGCGGGCGAGGAGCCCGAGCACGGCACCACCTTCTGCGCGCTGCTGCCGCGGATGCCGCAGTGGAAGTTCCCCGGCTCCAGCGGCTTCCTCGGCCGCGGCCCCGCCGGCGCCGCCCGGGATGCCCCCGCCGCGGCGGAGTCCCCCTCGGGGCTGGCCGCCGTCCTGGGCGCCTGCGAGCCGCTCTGCGCCGCGCCCTGCGCGCTGCCGGGCGGCGGGAGGGCGCGGGGGACGGCGGGGCGGGCGCGGGGGGCGGCGGCGCCGGCGGGGGCCCGGCCCGGCGGGGACGAGTGGAGCCGCAAGGGCAGCTTCATCCGCAAACCGGCGCAGGGCTGGCTGCACCCCGACGAGCGGGTGCTGGGGCCCGGCGTCTCCTACATTGTCCGGGTAAGTCCCACCGGAGCCCGGCGGTTCGGGAGGGCGCGGAGACCCTGGCCCCAGGCGTGTGCAGGGCTCGGCGGGTCCGGCCGCTCCTCCCGACGGCTGCGGGCAGAGCCCTGGCTCGAGTCCCTCCCCACGGCTGGACCGCGGCAGCTGCCCCCGGTACATGCAGCTTCCGTGATGGGACCGGGGGCCGGGGGCTTGCTGGGCCGTGGAGCCCACCTTGGGACTCCAGCGTTGTCAGCCCTTACGAGGCATCACAAGCTCTGGCACACAGATGAGTTTGTGGGGTCTTAGCACGGGGTCTGGCATATGATGCGGTGTTTTGGGATGGGGGGCGAAAGCTGCTGTGTGATCCCTGGAGCTGGTGTGGAAGGCCCTTCTCCCTGACACCCGGCCTCTCCTCTCCATTGCCTGCCCTGCTGTGCTGTCTGCTCGGACTGCTTTCCCCCGCAGTACATGGGGTGCATTGAGGTGCTGCGCTCCATGAGGTCCCTCGACTTCAACACCCGGACACAGGTCACCAGGTACTGCCCTGCAGTCCCACTCTCCTGCACGCCAGTGCCATCCCAAGCCCACCCGATGGCCCCGGGTGCTCTCTGTGCAGAGATGGGAATGCGGGTCAGGGGGAGCCGTCCCCTGCAGGATCCACCCTGCACGCAGGGACATGGACGAAGGGCACTGCCGCCGATCAATGGGTGGAAAGAGGAGAAGGGAGGTGGCCCCAGCTGGGATTACGTACCACGGGCCATGACGTGGGGCAGCGCTGCGGGGAGGCTGCGGTGCCTGGGGCTGTGGGGGTTCGTGCCACCAGACTCCACAGAGCAATGTGGGGGGAGGGCAGCTGGGAAGGGCTGGGGGTCTGGAGCAGTGACCAGGCCACTGTCTGACCATTGCAGGGAAGCCATCAACAGACTCTATGAGGCAGTGCCGGGTGTGAAGGGCATCTGGAAGAAGAAGGTGAGTTTCCATTCAGTTTGTCCGTCCCTGGGACAAGCCATGGCTGTGGGACATGACACTAGGGGTGCCTGCCCAGTTTGTGGGCCTGGGGCTTCTTGGGGGACCTCCCCTTTCCTTCTTCACCCCAGGAAGCCTGGTCCTGGTGGTCTTCCTTGCCCCCACCATCCTCTCCCTTATTAGGCTCCCAACAAAGCCCTTTTCTCCATTTTGGGCAAGAGTAACCTGCACTTTGCTGGCATGAGCATCGCTGTCAACATCTCCGTTGATGGGCTGAACCTCATGATTCCCACCACGCGCCAGGTGAGTGTTCCTGGGCACAAAGTCCTGCAGCCTGCCAGCCTGTGAGCTGGTGGCCCCTTTGCTAATGCCCCCCCTGGCCATGTTCCCCATGCAGATCATCGCCAACCACCACATGCAGTCCATCTCCTTTGCCTCCGGTGGGGACATGGTGAGTCCTGCACACCCAGTCCCCCAGGGTGGTGGGGACAGGGACTGCCCATGGCTGAGCCGAGCACGGGGCAGCGTGGCCTGGGTCAGGATGTGGGGCTGGGACCGAGCTGTCCCCTAGCCCTGGCACCTCCAGCCCTGGTCCCCACACTGTAGCAGGACATGAGTGCCGATCTCCCCCTCTGTCTGCAGGATACCACGGACTATGTCGCCTATGTCGCCAAGGACCCCATCAACCAGAGAGGTGACACCGGCCTCCAGGCGTGGGAGCTCTGTGGAGGAGGGATGAACTGGGGGGGATGAAGGCTGGAGGCGGAGATCCCTCATGGGGGGAACACGAGGGGTGGCTCAGGGGGTCCTGGTGCAGTGATGGGATTGTGGGGGAAACACTAAAACCATCCGTCTGTCTGTCCACAGCCTGCCACATCCTGGAGTGCTGCGAGGGGCTGGCGCAGAGCGTCATCAGCACGGTGGGACAGGCCTTTGAGCTGCGCTTCAAGCAGTACCTGCACAGCCCCCCCAAGGTGGTGGTACCCCCAGAGAGGTAGGGGGGTGGGGGGCCCTGCTGCACCCCTGTCCTCGGCATGTCCCCTGGCTGGGGGTGGCTCTGGGAGCCCCTGTCACTGCAGGGTGTGGGGATTGTCTGAGCCAGGCAGTGTGTCCCCAGCTCACCCGTCCCTGCTGCAGGGCGCTGGCTGCAGAGGAATCAGCCTGGGGGGAGGACGAGGAGGCGGCTGAGCACGACTACTACAACAGCATCCCAGGGAAGGAGCCTCCCCCGGGGGGCCTGGTTGACTCCCGGCTCCGACACAGCACAGCCCTAGGCCACGTCCGCACTCAGCCCTGCAGCTCTGTCCCCCCCAGCCAGGTGAGCCCCTCAGAGCCACTGCTGGCCTTGCTATGGGGGTCCCAGGCAGGGACCCCCCAGTGCTCTTACTGTCTCCTTTCCTAGGGCGGGTTAGCAGCCAGACGAGACCCAAGCAGCCAGCTGGGGCCACCCTGGGACCTGGAGAGCCAGGGTGGGTACTGCTGTGGGGGGAAGCCATGAGCTGGGGGGTCCCTGTGACCCTGCCCAGTCTTGGCCAGCGGTGATGGCCGTCCTCGCAGGCCAGCCCTGCGACGGGTACCTGCAGGCGGATGGCCACACCCTGGGGCCACGGGACTACGAGGAGCACATGTATGTGAACACGCAGAGCCTGGACGCCTGGGAGCCAGAGCTGGTGGCTCATGGGGCGGCAGAAGAGAGCCCCAAAAAGGACCTCTTTGACATGAGTAAGCCACTGCACTGGGGGAAATGGTGCAGAACCTGCTGTGGAGCAGTCAAACTGTGCCAGCAGCTGTATGGGTCACCTGCCACAGCCCCAGAGGTGCTGGCACTGGCTGAGTCCACAGCAGTGCAGTGGGGACTGTGAGCTAGAGTCTGTCCACAGCCCAGCCCTGCCTTGTGCCCCGGGTGTAACACCCCCCAACCCCTGCATCCCACAGGGCCATTCGAGGATGCCTTGAAGCTCCACGAGTGCATTGCAGGGGGTGGCACCAGTCCCCCCATCGAGGACCAGTGGCCAAGCCCCCCCACACGGAAGGCCCCCATCGCCCCCACGGAGGAGCAGCTCCGGCGGGAGCCCTGGTACCACGGGAAGATGAGCCGGCGGGATGCCGAGAGGCTGCTGCAGATGGACGGGGACTTCCTGGTGCGGGACAGCCTCACCAACCCGGGGCAGTACGTGCTGACCGGCATGCACAGCGGGCAGCCCAAGCACCTGCTCCTGGTGGATCCCGAGGGAGTGGTGAGGGCAGGGCACGGGGGTGAGGGCAGGGCATGGGGTGGGCAATTGGGACTGGGATCGGGGCAGCACACGGGGTGGGTGATGGGGAACACAGGCATGGGCAGGCACAGGGTGTTGCAACTGGATGCTGTACGAGAGGCAGCTCTCCTGAGTTGAGGACCACTGTGCCCTGGCTCCAGGTGAGGACCAAGGACGTGCTGTTTGAGAGCATCAGCCACCTCATCAGCCACCACCGGCAGAATGAGCAGCCCATCGTGGCAGCAGAGAGTGAGCTGCACCTCCGCCAGGTTGTACAGAGGAAGCAGTGATGCCAAGGGGGTATGTGAGTCCCCCTCATAGCCTGCTCCCCTGGCTCTGGACTCACCCTAGGGCAAAACTGGGGCCCCTTTGTGCTCCTCTTCTCCAGTTGTGCCTGAGGTCTGGGGTCAGGCTCCCCATTTTCCTCCCCAGGGAGATCTTGTGGTCCCTGGCCCTGCAGGTCCTCCCTGGTTGCTGCCTACCTCCATCGTCTGCATGGGGCACCCTGCCCAGCTGGACACAAAGATGTTTAATTCCACACATACAGGTGAAACGCTGTTGGGGTGGGAACTGCTTGGTGGCCTCAGCAGGAGGGATGGAGCCTGAAGCCATCTCAGGCAGGGCTGCCCCCCACTTGCCCCAGCACTGGAATGGAGGCTGGTGGACATTGCTGTAGCCCCCGGCTTGGCTCTACCCATGGGGCCAGGCACGACCATCTCTCGGACGCTGGTGCTGTTTGATGTTCCTGTTGAGGACATCCCTTTTCAGCCGGATTCTCCCCAGGAGTGGCTTCCACATGATGCTCCCTATGGCCCCAAGCCCTTACTGATCTCTCCAGGCCAGGGCCAGGATGGAGCTACTGTGGGAAGGTGCAGGGCAGGGCTGAGCTGCTGGCACTGCTTCACGAGGTGTCCCATGGCCCGTGGGGGCTCCTTGGCCAGTTCGGGGCTTTGGCAGGTTTTTATGTCACTCACAGCCCCATTTACCTGCCCTGTGTCTGGTGCTGGGCACGGGTTTGTGGTTTGGAATACATTTCTAATTAAAGCTGGAAATGAGCAAGGTGGTTCATGCCACCTCTGGGCATGGTGCTGGGACAGATCTCCATCACCACCAGTTCCTGCTTGGTCTCACCTTGGCCAACCCATCCTGTCCAGTCACACTTGTCTCTGCCCCTCTGGGTCACCCTGTCTCCCATGGATCACCCAGTGTCCCCCTGGCTTCAGAGTGGCCTTTGGCACCCAGGCCTGGCCCTGCACAGCCTCTCCTCCTCACACCTGGCAGCTCCCTGCCCTGCTGGCTCCTGCTGCCAGCTCCCCTCCTGCTTCCACCTGGAGCAGCACGTGGCCACCCACCCCTGGGCCCCTTGGGGTGGCTCTGAGTGGCATAAGCCAAGCTGTGACCCACTAGTAAGTGTGGCAGCCAGCAGAGCCAGAGCTGCAGGTGGGCCTGGCTGTGGCTCCTGTGCTACAGGTGGGCAGCAGCCAGCTGGGGAGTCCAGCACCAATCCTGGCTGCTGGTGGCCTGTCCTGGCTTTGCTCCATGTGCCCAGTGCTGCTGCCAGCACCCACCTTTGGGAGCAGGGTCACCCCAGCACCCTCAGCCCCTCGCTGGGGATCGCCTCTACCAGACAAGGCATCCAGGCTGGCCAGTGCTGGCTGAGCCAATGAATAAAATAAGCCCCTAAATAAAGCCCAGTAATGAATGCGTAATTTTCCATTGATAGCTGGATTCCGCGGGGACATGGTGCTTCCATCTCAGCTGCTATTTTTTGTCATGGAGTGATGCGTCTGCAAAGATAATTGCACTGTTCCCTCAATAGAGAGGCAGGGAAAGGCAGTGAGGGCCCCGACTTTCTTCTTTCACTGCCAGAGAACCAAGCCTGTGTGGTTCCCCCGCTGGCAGTGCCTGGCCCTGCAGCCCTGGCGATGCTGCCCTGCCGGGATGAAACGCTAGCAGGGGCATTGTTTTAGGGATTTAACCACTTTGGTTGAGGCTGGTGTGGTGCCAGTGGGTACAGGGGGCTCTGTGCCTCAACCCAGGTTTGGGTTGAAGGGCTGCTGCTTCTTCAGCCCCCGTGATGGAGAGGCTGCGGTGTTACGGGGAGGCTGAGGTGTTTTTGAAGACACATAAGAGCAGCTGCAGAGGACGCGGCCTCCTTGCTCTCCCAGGGCCTTGGGGATCTCGCTGACCAACCCATCCCTGCACTTGTCTCAAATGTGCGGACAACAGACACGCCCAATTCGGTTATTCAGGGCGTCCTTGCACAAACCGTTTCCCATAGCAGGACTCCCTCCTTCCCAGCTTCCAGCAGGTGGTAGCACACTGCCGGCTCCACCAGCTATGTCCCTAGGTCTGTCAGCCCCTGCCAGCGTCCCCAGCCCTGCCATTTCGCAGCCAGGCAGCTCCCAGCACGCTGCTCCCCTCCGTGCCCTGCGGGCACCGGCCCCGAGCCGCGCAGACAGAGCTGGCCCGGCCCCAGCGCTCTTTGTTATCTCAAGGGAACTCAACCATTTCTGCACCTTGTTTACCCGCAGTTTCGCAGGGTGGAGGAAAAGCAAACATCGGCCTTTTGTTCACCAGTTTCCCCTTCCGTGAGCCTCGTCCTTCTCCCCCGGGCTCCATCTGCCCTCTCCTCCCGGAGGGACCGGGCGCAGCATCCCGGCTCAGAGCCCAGGGTCCAGTCATGACATCACCGTCCCCTCCCCACTGCTGTCCCTGAGACATCTCAGCCCTCGGTCTAGTTCGGCACGGCCGGACGCCTCTTTTTACCAGCTCCAAGTGCGAATGCAGAGGGAGCCGAGGCCTCCCGCAGCAGCCCCCGCGGAAGGCGCTCACCGCACCAGGCTGTTCTTCCTGGCCGTCATTCCCAGCCCTGCACTGCTGCGGAATGATGGTGCTTCCCGGCAGCCTGACGGCATCCACAGGGCAGCAGCTAGGAAAGAACAGCCGCTTGACCCTTTTGTGCCATTGTTCCCCTCGGTCCATCCCTGTCCCCAAGGCTGTAAATCCCCGGGGGACCAGGGCTGGGTTCGATCACTCGGTTGAATCTCCCGACCCCCTCGCAACCCTGGGGCTTGCAGTGATGCTCCGTGAACCCTCCTGACGTTTTGTCCCAGTGTCCCCAGCCACCACCTCATCCCTCCAGAGGCTAGTGGGTTGTGTGACATGTGGCACTGCACACCCCCAGCTTCTCCAAAGTGATATTAAACCACTCGATGAGGCAACTCCTCAGACCCGAGACGCTTCTGGCTTCATTTACAGTGCTTTGAGATCAAGAGCTGGAAGCGAGGAGCTGCTGCTCCCAGAAGGGAACGACAGGGCCCCGGACTGGGGGCACCGGGTGAGGGGATGGAACGGGGCTGCTGCCGTCGCGATTGCACTCCCGACCTCATCCGAAATCCGACACTCCCGTGGGAACACGATCGGGTGTCTCGGGATCGAGTTCCTGCACCTCCCGAGCATCAGCACCCCGGAGCTTCACGATCCCAGTCCCGGTCCCGCCCGGTGCGGGTCCTGGTCCCGGTTCCAGCCCTGGTCCGGCCAAGCGCGGCGCGCAGAAATGTGGGGGCGCCGCACTCGGAGGATTACGGCGGCGGCTCCGCTCCTCGTTCGCGCCGCCGCCGCCGCCGCCGCCGCCGTATAAAAGCGCGTCCGCGCCCGCCCCGCCCGGGCTGCGGTGGCGGCAGCGGCTCCGCTTCAGGTGCGGCGGCTCCCGGCAACGTCCCGCTAGCGGCGGCGCCGGTCAGTCGGTCGGTCCGTCGGTCTCTGCGTCGCGTCGCGTCTGCCCCGTCCCATCGCATCCCTCAGCGCCGCCGGGTGACTGTCCCCTGGGTCCCCGATCCCCTCTCCTCACGGCCGGTTCTTTCGCGCTCCTCCCCGGGCTGGCGGGTCCCCCTGTCCCTCGGCGCGGCCAGTTCCCTCCCGTCCTTGTCCCGTCCCCCGCGCCTGCCGGGTGCGGGTTTCTCGGCGCCGCTGGTCTCTCCCGAGGCTTCCGATTTCGTCCTGCCTCTGCCGGTGCCCGATCCCCGGTGATAGCGTTACCCCTCGGGTCTCTTCCAGCCCCACACCCGACAGCAACATGTGGCTCTTGGAGCGGCTGCGCGGGGTGGCGGAGAACGGCGGGTCCCGGGGAGCGGGGACAGACGAGTCCTCACGGGGGTCCCGCTACAGCAACGTCCTCACCCCCGACAAGATCCCCGACTTTTTCATCCCGCCCAAGCTGAGCGCGGCACCCGCCGAGGCTGAGGGCTCCGAGGTCCCCGCAGCGGCTGCTCTGGGTGCCTCAGTCTCAGAACAGGATTTGGCCAAGCGCAAGCCTCCTCGCAGCCCCCGCCCGTCCAGCCGGTCCCGTTCCCGGACCACCGGGCGTCACATCATCCAGATCGAGACCGCTGAGGACTGGACCGAGGGGAGCGGCACCAACGTGGACCCGCAGGCACAGACGGCCATGTCGCTGCCCTACGTGCCCAAAGCACAGACCTCCTATGGCTTCGCCACGCTGATGGAGAGCCCCCACACCCGGCGCAAAGAATCTCTCTTCCACAGCGAACACAGCAGCCTCTGCCCCTCGCCAGTCACCTCGCCCAGCGCCCAGCGCAAAGCCAAGCTCAACGGCGAGAGCGGCCGGCGGACACCCGCTGACCTCGGCGCAGCCCTCATGCACCCCGGGCGCTACTTCAGCGGCGGCGAGAGCGACACGTGCTCCTCAGCAGAGTCCTCCCCCTTCGGCTCCCCGCTGCTCTCCCGCTCCGTCTCCCTGCTGAAGCTCTTCAGCCAGGAGAGCCAGTCCAAGGTCATCAAGCTGAAGCACTCGGTGGCCCGCAACAGCTCGCTGTCCACTGACGACAGCTCGGCTGACACCAGCCCCAGTGCCCAGCGCCGCGCCAGGAGCGCCCCGGCCGGGACGCAGCCCCCGACAGCCCTGCTGCCCCTGGACCTGCCCGCGGGCCGTGACCGGGAGCACAGCCTGCGGCTGAGCCGGGGCGGGAGCCTGCGCCTGGCTGCCGAGTACGACCCCTCCAATGCCCGCCTGCGTGTGCGCCTTGTGTCCGCCGAGGACGTCTACGATGCCCTCGTCGACCTGCGCAGCATCAACTGCTGCGTCTCGCTGTGCCTCAACCCTGGGAAGCTGCAGAAGCAGCGCAGCACCATTGTCAAGAACAGCCGCAACCCTGTCTTCAACGAGGACTTCTTCTTCGACGGGCTGGGCCCCGGCCACGCCAGGAAGATGTCCCTGAAGCTCAAGGTGGTCAACAAGGGCAGCAGCCTTAAGCGGGACACGCTGCTGGGGGAGAAGGAGCTGCCACTCACTGCCCTCCTGTCCTGCCTGTAGGTACCTGCTACCAGCCCCGGAGGGAGCCCTCGCACCTGTGAGGCCGGGGCGAGACAGAGAGGCAGGCTCTGTCCCCCAGCCCCACTGGAGGAGGGTTTGGAAGGGCCCCCTGAGGAGGGCTGGGGTCGTGGCAGAGTGTGGGGGTTCCCAGGAATGGTGCTGCTGTGGGGCTCTGCCAACACCGGCTGGCAGCCACAGCCTCTGCCCCTGCTTCCTCCCTGTTCCTGCCTCGGGGCTGCATCTCCTGGAGCCCAGCAGAAAGTGGGGAGCCTGCAGCCCATTCCCCACCAGGAAGGATGGAAGCACCTGTTGGACTCTTCCCTCCCTGTGCCTGTGGTCTCCAGCTGCTGCCAAGCAGGTTGGAGGTGGGTAAATCTCTGTAGCATACTTATGGCCACCTCTCAAAGCCCCAGCACCTGTAGTCAGGTGGCAGCTTCAATTTAAAAGACAAGTTTCTGGTCTTGGAAACTGCAAAGAAAATACTGCAGAGGTGACCTGAGAGTGAGCCAAGGGTGGCCACCCCGGGGGATGAGTCAGGTTTGTGGCTTTTTTTGAGCCTTTCCTGGACTTGTCCCAGCTCTTTGGGGCTGTACAGATGCGCAAGTTAACTCGGTCTGACACCTGCAGCCTCGCAGGCTGCCCTCCCTGCCTACCCCAGCACTGTCCCCCACTGCTGACCCCCAGTGGGAAACTGTTCATGAAGCTTTGGGGGCTTTGGTTTTCCCAAATCCAGGAGGCTGCCTTGCCTTTCCCCTGCCCACGGAAGGGAGATGCCAGGGGCTACCACCCCTTGCCCTGGGCACATGGATTGTCCCAGGCAGTGTCCCAGCAGACGTGCTTGCTGACAAAAGCTGAGGTGACAGGAGCAGCCCTCCCTGAGTGCTGGGGCCATCCCAGGTGAGGCTGGGCAGGGGTGCAGGCCGAGGCTCCACAACCCTCCACCCTACATTGTCTATGGGGGCTGAAGATCTTTCAAGTGGCTGCACCCACTGGGCAGCAGAGATATGTCCTGTGGGGCCACCAAGCTCCTGTGCCCAGCAGGATCTTGTGTCTCAAAGTGACTGACCTGGCTTTCAGTTTTCCTTTGGGGAGGGAGCGAGGTGCTCCCAACCCGTCCCATCCCAGCCTGTCATCCCGGCTGAATGACTGGGGACAGTGGGAGCGGGGAGGGTGCCGTGCGGGGCATTTCTGCGGGTGGATAAAACATGCTGCGTTGTTTTTTGGTGTGGTGTCACCCGTTGTGTCGGGCTCTGCATGTTTCTGTGCAGGGAGCAGGATTTGCGGCGCTCCCGTCCCCGCCTGTTGGACACACACACATGTGTCCCCTCTGTGTTAACCTCTGTGGTAGCAGTCGATGTTCCTCCCTTGTCCTTTTGCAGCAGATGGCAGATCTCAGTGTTGGCTATTTATATCCGAGGCTGATCTTTCACAACATTTTACTTCTGTCTGTAAATATGTTCCAGGTACACAAGGCATAGTTCTGATTGTGCCGTGTTTGCATGTCGGGGGGATTCAGGGTGATCGTGGCTGTTTGCCGAGCTTGTGGTTGAAAATAAACCATGCAGGACATAAGGAGCTGACATGTCCATCCTTCACAGGGAGTTCCCACCTGAGGCTTCCCTGTGCTCCCCCAGGAGCCAGCACGAGGGATGGTCCCCAGCCCCCAAGAGCCCAGACTCATCCCGGGGGCAGATGAGAGCTCTGGGGAGTGGGGGATAGGGAGAGGTGTCACATCCCGTGGTGTGGGGTGAACATCCTGCCCCTGAGGAGGTCTGGGCAGGAAGGGGACCCTCCCCAGCTGGCTGCTGCCTGACAGCCCCTGCACACCCCACCAGCATCCTGTGCTCCCTGGGGTGCTGTGCCTGCGAGGGGCTGGGGGGACCCAGGTGCTGCTGGGGTGGGGGGGACAGGCTGCAAGAAGAGGAAGAATGGGAGCTTGGATGAAGACTTCGGTGCTCTGAGAGGTTTGAGGAGTGACACATCCCCCGCGAAAGAGCCTTTGGGTTTGGAGGAGGAGGATGCTGAGAGCAGGAGCCCGAGCTGCTCCTTGGGTTGAGGCTGACCCCAGAGGGAGACCCAGGGGCCTGGGGCTCTTGTTCTGCCCCACCCCAGCCTGTCCCAGGGCTGTCTTGCTGGAGCTGGGTGTGTGGCCATGCAGTGAGCCCCGGGATGAGCTGCTGTGAGCCCTGCTCTGTGCTGGGCTGGTGGTGTGGGAGCCAGGGCTGTTGCTTGGATGGGTCTCTGCTGCTGGAGCTATTTTCTATTGTTCCTGCTTTGATATTTCTGTGGCTGGATTTAATGATGTATTTTTGGAGTGAAAAATATATTAATACCTGAATGGAATGTTTGTTTACAGATTATTTCCTCTTTTTAGTGCAATAAAGTAATTTCTAAAACAGATGCAGGTGTGGCCCTGGCTCCTGCTTTCCCCAGGATATTTCCTAGCATTATTCTTGATGGCTCCCTGTGTGGGGGAGCAGAGCTGTAACCTCAGCACTGTCCAGGTACGGGACAGCCCTGCTTTTCTGAGTGCTGCTCCCCTTTCCAAACAGCATTCCAGGGGCTCAAGGTGCTTCTGGAGCTCTTCCCCTGGTGCTGCTGACCAGGCGTGGGGTGAGGTGGGAGTGAATCTCCTGGGGAGAGGTGAGTACATGGGGAAAGGTGCTGCTCCTGCTTGAGGGGGGGGACGCAGGGGTGTGCTGAGCCATGGCATTGCCAGCTCATAGCCAGGGCTGTGGTGAGGGACAGCCCCTTCCCACACTCTGTGGGTGTCCTTCCTCCTCCTCACCTGCTCCCTGAGCCTAACCCCCACAGCCCTTCTCAGCACTGGTGATGAAGAAAATTGTTATTGTTTTTGTTCTCAACACTCCCAGGGCCACTCCGCCCAGCTGACAGCATTCAGGTTGCTTTCTTTTCTCCCCACCTGCCACTTCCAAATCTGTTCCTAGCCAGATGCTGCTGAAGAAAAGAGGAGTGTTTGCCTGTTACCTAAATGCCATTTTTCTAATTTTCACAATTCTGATAATTTGTCATGTTTGGTAGCTATAGAGGCTGGGTGGGAACAGATCTGTTCTCTCACCTCTGGCCCCCACAGGGGTGGTGAAAGCAGCCTGGTAGGTGCTAATAATTTAAGTTGTGTTTTTTCTAGAGGTCCAAAACTGTAGTAGGTAGTAACAAAATGAGGCTGATTAAGTTAGTCTGAACCAGAGTGGATGGGGTCAGCCTGAGCACACGAAAATCCCTGGAAAGTGTTCAATATTCAAAGTGCTGGAAGCAGCCAGAGGGGTGGAGAGGGGTATCTTGTGGGGGAAGATTTAACTCTGAATTTGTAATTGAGTCACCGTGGGAAGGAAATGCGTCTGCCTCACTGGACCTGGGAGGGCTTGATGATGCTGAGAGGAGCTTCTGAACTGGGAGCTGCTGGTGGGGAAGATGATGATACATCCCCACTCCACAAAACAGACCCTCGGGTCAGGGGATGCCCAGGTAAAGCACAGCCAGGTAAAATTCTGAGCCCAGGGGCAGCTCTGCCCATCACTGTGCACACCAAGTGATGTCTGAGCCCTGGGAGATTTCCCCTGCACAGGGATTCCTCTGGCCGGGGGGCCCAAGGCTGCCAGAGCTGTGGCGCACATTTGGGCGGCCCAATCTATGCAGGAAACTGAGGCAGAGCAGGGGAGGTGGCTGGATGTGGAGGAGCCCTGATCTCTGGAGTGAAGGAGTGAGGCTCACCTGGGCGAGAGGCACATACAGGCCTTGGCTATTTTTAGCCCTGTGTTCCCGCAGCAGGAGGACTCAACTTCTGAGAAAATTGCCTGGAGCTCATTTAGCCATGGCGTGATGGCTGGCGAGGGAGGGAGAGGGCAAATTAGGGGTTCACAATCTCACCCACAGGGCCGAGGCTCCCGGGAGGGTTCTGCAATGAGGAAGCCAGCGGGACTGTCCCTGCTGGGGAACACCCTGTCCCTGCCCCATCCTCCAGCCAGACTGGGGGTCCCAGTACCCAGTGCTGTCCTTGGCCCTGCTCGGGGGTCCTTGATAATTTTGGCTGAGCAGAGCTGCAACTGCTGCTTCTCCTCTCTGGATTTTTTGGATGCTGCTGAGGCTGGGGGAGCCTCTCGGGCAGCCCCAGCCCAGCCATTTCCCTGCCCCCACCCCCAACTCCGGCTGCCGATTTCCCGTTTCGGTCAGAAAAGCATCTTCCCGTTGCCTGGCAACGCTCGGCCGGTGGCGGGGGCGCTCCACGAGGGGAAGGGGGTGGCCCTGCGGGTCCTGTGCCGGAGCCAGCCGGGTGCCCCTGGCGACTCCGCCACACGGTTCTGGCCACCTGGGCCGGGCCGGCTGGTGCGGGACCAGGCGTGCAGAGGGAAGCGGCGGACATGAACCGGGCAGTGGCGGCTGCAGGGAGCATCGGCCTCCCCCGGCATCGCGCTCCAGCGCTTTATTGCAAGCATTTGTCTTCCATGGCAGCGTGTCTGCCTTAAAGGGGAGAGGAGAGACTCCCACTGTTACTGGGAGGAAAACAGAACTTAATTGAATCCCACAGTCTCTTGTAGTCACATCAGGCGAGAGAGTCACATCAGTGGAGAGTTACACCTCGGCATTACCCCCCGGCACCCAGCAATCTGTGCTCCTCCAGAGGACATGGAGTCCCCCGGGCTGGGGTCCCAAGAGCCCAGATAAGGAGCAGAGATGACCTCCAGCTCCTTATCAGCCCGATGGCACTTGGCACTCTGCTGAAATGCAGCACCGTGGCAGCAGCTGCCAGGGTGTACCTGGGACAGGCAGAGCTGCTCAGCACACACTCCCTCTGTTCTCCTTTTCCATTTGCACTTTGCTCTCCTGCTTTGAGGCTGGCAATCCAGCAGGCATCTGGGCCCAGGTCTTGCCTCCATAGCCAGGAAAAGGCAACCAGCAGATGGGAAGCGCTGCTTTGGACTCCCCCTTACCATTAGTTCAAGCCCCTGGATCCAGCCTTGACTTGGGGCTGGGGCCAGGGTG